ACACAGGAGTACTCAGCTTGGGTTTCCCTTGGACAACCTTGACTCCACATATGGCAAAAGCTTGGATCTGTGCATTAGTCACCTCAGATGCTCTATGCAAACTGATCAAGCTTAGTGCTTGCCAGCAAATTGTCCCAGGCATTTCATACTTCATGAAATCTGCAAAAATAAAATCTGAACATTTATTCCTAAGGATCTACTTATGCGTCATGTGGCTATGAATTTGCTTGGTCTAATAAATTGAGTAGGCTTCCAGTAATAACTGGAAAATCAAGCCAGTAGATCCGTAAATATCTGGTCCTTTTTTATTCAGTAGGGAGCCAGTCCCTCTACACTTGAGATTATGGTGCTTTTGGGGTTTTGTATTTGTTGGGATTTTTCCTGTAACAGAGTTTTCCACATTTTGGGAAATAGCAGCAATCAGCACACATGCGTGCGAGGGCTAAACCTCTCCCTAAGAAAACTATATCCCTGAACACGGTGTTTCTGCATGGCTGACAAAAGTGTCTCTTTGTCTGGGGTGGCAGGGGTGCGTGTTGAAACAACACACAGATAAATTACTGTGATTGAAGATACTGTAGCAGTTTTATGAGGAAATAGGAGTGTTAAATCCTGGTAACTTAGACAAATTCTATTTCTGTCACAGACATTCTTCCAGCCTCAGTAAATCTCATAATTAAAAAAATACATGATTGCGACTTTATATGAAGAAACATCATGTCTTGGATCATAGAGGGGACTCCTCCTCTCTCTAGCTCAGATCCAAGACTGCATCTAGGGTTTTGTGACACTGTTAGAACAGAATATTAGAAAACTGTAGAAAGATGGAAAGTTCAGAGAAGAGCAACCAGTTGGTCACAGTGGTAAAGCTGAGAACTGAATAGCAGAGGAATAAGTTAAATATGAGTAAACTATCCAAACAGTATTACAGATGAAAGACTGCTACCTGAAGGAACACTAAAAATCTGGCTGCTTTCATCTTTTAAAAATTCATCAGGAAGAAGTTCTGTGAAATATACGTCAGTAAACCACTGCTTGGATACAGAAGAATTGGAGGCTGCTTCTGCCACCTTTCCTACGAACAAATTGCAGTCTTAGCCCTTGGAATTAAAACTTTAAAAAGCTAATGGAATTTCTAACACTTCTTTTTCTCCAAACTGTGACTTTTCTCTTCAGCCCATGCACTTCCAATGTTCCGTGAACCACGACAACGAAGCACCAGGAAGCAGCTGGAAAAGGATAGACTAGATCCCCTGAAATCTCACAAACCTGAACCCCCAGTAGCAGGACCAGGTAATCTAGGCTTAATCATTACAGACTGTCATATGCCAAAGGGACCATCATGCCTGGGTTCCATGCTTGTTTGGATTCGCGTTCAAACTTTTTTGGGTGGGGACTCTGTATGTGAGCAGTGCTCAGCACGGTAAGACGTTGGTCTTTGATTGGAGTGGTTGCCAAAAATAAATTAATAATTGCAATGACTCAATTCTAGTTACATAATCAGTCAAACACTTGTGTGAATGCAGCTCTAAATTAGACTTTTCCTGTAACATTATATAGTTTCCTTGTATCAGATCAAGGATACAGACAATAACACAGTATTTTGCTTCTCTGTTTATTTATTAACTATATTTTTCTAAAATACTCGTTTCCTCTTTTTGCCACAGGTCGTGGTGGCCGTGTTGGAACTCATGGAGGCACCTTATCATCATACATAGTCAAGAATATTGCACTGGATAAGACAGATGATAGCAACCCTCGAGAGGCTATTTTACGTCATGCAAAGGAAGCGGAGGAGAATCCGTACTGGGTTGCTCCAGCATATGCTAAGTAAGAAAACAATTAAAAATACAGGCAATATTTCTGGAGGCCAGTGGGTGTTTGGTAAAAACAGAAGATACATTTTTAACTGTATTCTTTGCCTTTTCTGGATTGTTGCTATGAATACGCAAACCAAGAATATGTCATGTTCTCATATGAAGATTAAGTTTCCAGTAGGTTAAATTGTTAAAATTTGACATTTCCATTTAAAAAATATATCTGTCAGTGCTAGAAAATTCTTTTAAAGCTTTCTAAATTTATTAGTCTTCCCAAAGCAGTCTGAAATTGTAACATAACTATTAATAAGATTCTGTCCCACTGGCAGACTAGGGACATAAGTTTTGGCTGGTGATAGATACACCCTCTAGTTCTGACTGATTCTGAAGTGAAACCTGCAAAATACTTACTTGGTATTGTGACAGCATATTTGAGATGATTTCTTGAAATTCTTAAGTTTTTATTTGAATTTTTTCCTACATCAGGACCTGGGTACCTACTTAAATTAACTTGGTCTTACAGGTACATGAATACTAAAAATGGCACTGATAAAAATCCCCTACCAAAAATTCAACGTAAATATATAATCAGTTGTTGTTACCTAAATTAAACAGCCATGTCAAATTTATACTGGTGGAATCACGGCAATCCCACAGATGGTAACTTAGTTTAAATTGTAGGTGTGAGTGGGGTATGTATGTGTATATGTTACCTCTGTGTATGAAAACTGTGGAATATTCTTCTTTAATACTTTCAAGTACAATTCAAATCATTAAATAAATTCACATCAGTACTAAAATACCTGCTAAATGCTAATACGTACATACTAATCCTAAATGAACACATTTCATAGTAACAAACAGAAATGTTCACACTACTGCTTTAAAAATGACTAAACGTTTTCCACTTCATTATTGTTATTGATGTTTTTGTTACAGAAAATGATCTATCTAGTATAATTTGTAGTTTCAAAATGCATAAGGAAAAGATTATGAAGAGGTGAAACGGCCTGCACAGAACAGGCAGAGCTAATAAGAGGCGTTGTTTCTTACTTGCAGCCCAAGGTTGTATCTCTCAGACTGTACTTTCTCTAGTAGTTTTTATTTCTTTTATGAAAAAAAAAAAACATCACTGCTTTCCAGAAACTCAAAATATGTTAATAATCATAGTTGTTTCTGGTGGTGACGCTTGTTTTTTGACTTGGCCCACGTCTTCACAAAGGTCACAGAGTAGCTGTTCTAAAGCAACTTGAGAACATTAATGACCCGGCCTGGCTTTGACTGGGTAACTAATAAGGACGGCATAGTTGTAATGTACGTCAAATGAATGCATAGTACAATATCACCCTTATTACCAAGTCAAAAGAGGAAATATATAATTTTGTAACAGTTGCTGTAATGAAGATGCTAAATACTGATTTTTAATTATTTAGGGGGGTCATGTTTGCTACAGATGAACATGCATGTACCCGTTTTTATTTAAAATGTGCAACTATCCATTCTCAAAAGTAAATATAATTGCACATTCCATCAGATAGATGGCTGCTGTGGTATATTTTTGGCTTAGCAACTTCATTGATTGTATATTAGGTTTCATCCCTGACACCTGCAATGTAATAGACATGAAAGTTTTAAAACATAGCTGTGTTACAGAAGGCTTACTGTGTCAGGTGGACAGATCTCATTACAGTTTCTTGCTAAAAGATGTAGCTGCAGGGAAAGAAGAGAGGTGGCTGAGAAGTGGGGAGGATGCAAGTCCAGACTGCTATTAACTTACACACCAGACGGTGATATGTGTGTGGGGGAGTTGGACTGCAGCCAACAGCACACTGCCTTGACAGCTTTGTCAGTTGAGAAATTTCTTGCTCATGAAACTGCCATTATCCTTGCTTTAGAAACTTGACTTTAAGAAGTGCCCTATGCAAAAAGCTTTTTAAAGATGTTTTTGTTGTTATATTTCATACAAGCTAACACTGAAATGTAGAAACTTTCTTTATAATTCTGTTATGTTCTTAATTTTCAGAAATGGAGGTCTACATTAACAAATATGGACCAGTGGCAGTCAGAGGTCTTGTTAGCTGCTTGCCTGCACACATATATAGTATAGAGAACAGTAATAATTATATATCTGATATGTGACTTTGCTGGGCATCTACGTTTACCTTATATATACAGCATCTTACAGATGTTCTTCCAAATACATGCTCAGTAAAATAGGCAAAGTACAAGAAATTGATGTAAATTATCACATATTGTTATACTGTAATAATATGTTGTCCCTTGTGGCCCCGTTGAAATCAGTTCAAAATAGTGAACGCTATGCAAACCTAGGGAAACTGGCTCCTTTTAGCTTTAGCATAAAATAAAGGAAAGAGTTAGGAAAGGTTATATTCTAAATACATTTAGAATTCTTTGAAATTACATACTGTCTTGAAACCTAGAAAACGTACAACCAGTGTTGTTTCCTTTTTTCAGTAGTGTTTATTTTTACTATTTTCTTTATTTTTCTGTTATCAGCTCTTCCGCATTTCCTGCAGGGTAACTTTTTACTTAAGTGTGATATAACAGTATCCACTTGATATATTCTCTTGTTTGACAAGGCTTTTGTTTTTTGTTGTCTGATGAATGGTTATTCATTTATAGTTTTCAGTTTTCCTCCCTAAGAAGACACATGTTAACCTAAGGAAAAACATTATAGATACTAATTTTTTTTCATAGTGATTGAGTTAACAGGCATGTCAGATTATCAAGTTGTGCCTGTCATAGACATCGCACCTTGAACTTTATAATGAACAGTGATCCAGGGCCAAATAATCTGTAGTTTACACTCACATACGTAGTCGCAAGTAATACTGATTTTCCCTCAATCATAGCATTTTCCTGAAGCCAGTTTTATTCTTTTGTGAATGAATCCTGTCGTATGAGTAATAATCATTTAAAAGAATTTGGCCCACAAACTTCAATGAAAACGTTTGGGCTGATATTTTTCTCTAAAGCAATAAAAGAAAATGAATGTACTTTAGTGTACATTTCCTATAGTCAGAGGGAAATCCTTATAAAAGGCTGTGTAGACTGATCACTGACGTTTTACAGTTCTTAGTAGAACAGTACGATTGTGTCTGAAAGGATCAGAAAAATGTTAACTGGTTACTTTTTATGCAAAAATTTCTGACTAAAAATACTTGAAGTCCTGAATTTAGTATACTTATTCCTTTTTATATGAAAGGAAGAGGAGAAAGACAATTTTATGCCGCTGCTAAAATACAGCCGTTTGAGGAAAAAATATTTTAAATTCTGTGTGATTATTTTCTGTAGATTTAAAGCAACTGACAAAATATGCCGTCATAAAATCTACAATTTGTTGTACTTAATTTCTATCGAAAAGATTGCATAAAATTGGAAACATAATAGATGGTCATATTTTTAAGAAGTGAGATGGTAATATTAACCAGAAAACTTTGTCTATTCTTCTGTTTTAGTGAAAGAAGAAACACAACTATCAAGTTAAAAGATTATGAATGATTTTTTGTTGTTGTTGCTATACCAGAATAGTATAAACTTTTTACAGCTAAGGGAATTTCAAAACCATTTCTTGGAATGCTTCTTTACTCTTTAAAAAATCATATTTAAAAATAAGCCTTAGAAACAAGACTTACTAGAGAGTTTCACTTTTTTTTTTTTTTTTTGAATGTAGAAGTTAATGCAAAACTGTAGTAAGCAGTTGTAAAACTGTTATGCTGCGTACGGGAGTGAGCAAGATCAGAGTTTTCAGACTAAGGTGTTCACAAGAGATAATAACGTAACAATATTTCTTCCAAAAAAACTCTTCCTAACTCTCTGCAAAGCTAGGAGCAGGAAAAAGCCACAGGTATTTCATTCTAAATCAGATAACTGATTTCATGCTTTTATAATTGTGTTTGTGCTTTAATAATTCTTACAATAAGTACCTGTGGCATGGGTGATACTGTTCGTTTATAGGCTGTGCATAAAAATATTTCCTTTTTGTTGGATGTAAAGGTACCTAATTTATTCTGGAAGCCAAATAGTCAATTGCATTATTTATCACTTGAATTTTTTTTTTTTGAAAGTTTGTTATCATTATCATGACCTTTCTGTTTCTCCCATAATTTGAGCCAGAAAAGGAGGGGAAAGTATGTAAGTGGCAAAAGGATGGGTGAAAAAACCAGATGCTGCTGAAAAGGATACCGAGGGATGATAAAGAAATACATGCTGAAGCTGAAGATGACATATCGCAGAAGCCCAATGTGAATAAAGTGTCCAAAAAGAAGTGATCACTGCAGCAGAGAAGTCATAATGGATGAGCATACAGAAAAGACCTTGAGATTTTTCAGGAAAAAGCTTGTTAGAGACCTTGGCAAGAGTAGTTCCAGTGGAGAGAAAGGGAAGGAAAGGAAGGACAGATTGAAGATTTCAAGTAAAGAACTACAGGAAAGGAACTTGAGGCATCAGTTGTAAATGTTTGAAAATTACATTCTTTGTGAGCTGTTTGTTTTAACACAGCTGTACAGAGATACTATAATGACTTCAGATCTTCCTCTGCAGCATGAATTACTAAGCGTTGAAGCTGAGCGCCTAATCGGGCCCAGATGTAGCTCTGGCCTGTGCTGTAAGGGAGGTGAGGGTGAAATTTCCCTCCCTGTCAGTATAGACCAGGGTTCTTTGAACGTATCTTACAGTTTGTGATGTTGCCCCCGTTTTGCTGTCTTTGTCGTCACTGCTTGTGACCGGCAAAAGACAGTGACTTGAAGCAATAACCTGTAGCTGTGCTGTGTGTTCACTGCGCTTTTTCTCGGTGACAGTACTCATGTGTGAAGTGTTACTTAATTTGTGGCTCAAGTACCTTTAATTTAAGAAGCAGACCTGAGCAGAATGTTTTAGAACTATGATTTTGTTGACACATGCTGATATAGCTAAGCTGAATCTTTTTTTGAAATCTGTTAATTTTGAGAGGAATGTCTCTGAGATTCAGCAAAGAGATAGGCTGGCTGATGGGGTAAAGAATAGAAGGGGACCTGATGCTTAAAACCTGAAGTTTTTGGTCTGGGAGTAGCCTTTTTGTCACTATTCTGGTTTCTAAGTGTTCTTGAAAGTGTTCTTTTTTTCTTTGTTTGTGCAAAATAAACACAAATTTCAGAACTTACTGTTACATGAGTCACATGCTGTGATATGGAATTGCCCTCTCCAGCTGGTTTAGTTATAGCAGTATTTTTTTAACTGCTAGTCTATGAATCTCAAACGTCAATAGGCTACTTTTGCTGGATCTGTGAAAGGTAACTAAGAAAAACAAGCTAGAACTAGAGATTAAGTTGACTCTGGAGCAGTCTGTATGGCCACTGCGATTTTTTAGGGGTCTGCATATCTGAATAATTTGAAAATCTCTGAACTAAAGAGAAGCTTACAGAAAAGCATGCAAACGAATCTTGTTAGAACAAAACACATTTGGCTGTTTTCAGCTTTTTTTTTTTCTTTTTTTAATTTACAGCCTTTTCGTGTAACCTTTAAGTACAATAGGAATGCATTTTTCAGTGTGTGAGATGCTGGTTTTCAGCAAAGTGTCATTTGGTATTACAGAATCGTAGAATAGTTTAGGTGGGAAGGGACCTCTGGAGGTCATCCAGTCCAACCTCCTGCTCAAGACAGGTCCGATCAGATCAAGTTACTGAGGTTCAGTTAGATCAGATTCTTGAGGGACTTGTCCAGTCAAGTATCCTCAAAGATGGAAATTCCACAAGTTCTGTGGAAAACTTGTTGCACTATTTGATCATCCTCACAGTAAATTAACAATTTCCTTACATTATCTAACTGGAACTTCCCATCTTCGAAATTTTCTCTGTTGTCACTTGTCTTATAGCTGTGCACCTCTGAAAAGAGTCTGGCTCCATCTTCTCTGTACCCTCTTATTAGGTAGTTGTAAATAGCAGTAAGGTACCTCTTTAACCTCCTCAAGGTGAGGAAATCCAGTTCTCTCAGCCTCTCCCCATACACCATGTTCTCCAGCTCCCTCGCCATCTTGATGGCAGCTCCTCACTGTCCTCTAACCAACTGGTGGCTCTCCTCTGGACTTGCTTCACTATGCCAGTGCCTTTCTTGTACTGGGAAGCCCAGAAGTGGCAATAGTACTCCAGACATTGTCTCACAAGTGCTGGAGAGAGGAGAATCTCATGGTACAAAGCAGTCCAGCTGGTCAGGCAAAATAGGCCCTTGCTAAATCCTTACTGGCTGTTCGTTCTTGTCCTTCATGTGCCAGGAAATGGCTTCTGTGAAGATTTGTTCCAGAGACTGAGGTTAGGCTGAGTGTCCTGCAGTTCCCCGCACCCTTCTCTCCCTGAAGCTGAGTGTGATGTTTGCCTTTTCCAGTCATCAAGGCTGGATCACCGTGACCTCTCCAAGATGACAGACTACCCTTGAAATGATATTGGCCAGTCCCCTCAGTACCTTTACCATGCCATCTGATCCCATGGATCTGTATATGTCTAAATGGGTATGTGCTCCCTTTGTGCTCCATCTACCTCTACCACTGGTAATGCTCCATTCCCTGCTGCAGACTCTGCTAGTAGGCTGGAGATCCTGGGAGGCCTGAGGGCAGACCTTCTCAGGGAACACTGAGCCAAGGAAAGCACTGAGTACCTTGACCTTTTCCATATCCTGTGTTAATAGGTTCCCTGCACCATTGAACACATTTTCCTTAGCATTCCTTTTGCTGTCAGTGTAGCTGCAGAAACCTTTAGTGTTGCCCTTTGCATCCCTTTCTAGTTTCAACTCCAACTGAGCTTTGGCTTTCGTAATTCCATTCCCGCATGTTCAGGCAGTGCCTCTGTTCCTCTCGAGTAGCCTGTTCCCACTTCCTCTGTGTACTTACTTTCTGGGGTTTGGGGTTTGATCTCAATCAGGAGTTCCCTGTTCATCTATTCTGGCTTTCTGCCATGCTTGCTTGACCTTCTGCACATCGGTTGGAATGTGTTCTGAGGAGATTGTCCCTGAAGATCAGCTAGCTCTCCTGACCGTCTCTTTGCCGTGCATGGCAGGCTCCCGTTGGATCCGGCCAAGCAGATCCCTAACAAGCTGAAATCAACTCTCCTGAAGTCAAGGATTAATAAAATAGATGAGAGACTTGACTGGAAAAAAGAACATGGCATTCCATATATGGTGTTTAGCCCTCAGAAATGAAAATATTTTGAAGCAGTGAACCTATTTTGATAATTTTTCTATAAATATTAATCATACAGCGAACTCCTACTGCACTAGCAATCTCTATTGCAGTTACTAAGCAGAACGATTTTTATTTAAATTAAATGATCACTACTGATAGTACTATAATGAAAACAGTGATTTCTGTGTTTGTCTTGAAAATGGTTAGGCATATAAATAACCGTAGGTGTTCCAATTACCACTATATATCTTGTGGAGGTGGAACAGTTGAAATATAAACTGAGCTGAGGCCATAGCCATTTCATGCTAATTTTAAAAAATGAGATAGCAAGCAGACTTGATTTCCTCTGTATGCTTCCTCTCAAGCTGGTTACTGCGAGATTATGCTACAGTCTCTCTCTCTCTCTCTCTCTCTCTCTCTCTCTTTTTTTTCTTTACTGAACTCTGAGTAACTTACTTATATTAACTGAAATCTATAACTTTGCATATATTGCTCTGCCACTCCTATCCTGGAAGATATGCAGCTTCCATTACTCATGTCAGAAATAAAGTCGTTCTTTTTGGATGGATGTTTCTGACTACAGTTATGACACTTGCTGGTTTTGTGGTCAGAAGCAGTAGGTTTACACTCAGTCAGTTGTGCCGTACTAACAGACATCTCAGTACTGACCTGATGTGATCCCACATGGCATTTAGATAACTTTTTTGTGTGTGGTGTGACACAATGAAGGTAGATTATTAAAACTGGATAAATAAACTTCCATCAACAGGTTTTGAAAAGAGAGAAGATTCCATACATTCCACTTCCTCAGCAGCCAACAAAATCCAATATTTCAGCCAATAGAGCCTTCATCCCTGGTGGCTGTGTTGGCTCAAATACTGATTATTTTTATCTTCCTTCAGTGATTGAATAAGTAGAGTTTATGTAACTATCTTCAGATGATCTTTTTTCTTTAATTTAGAGAATATTAATTTTTTTACTCTTAATTCTGCTTTCCATGCAGTGACTTATCTAACTTCCAGTAGCTTAAGTCTTCGACTGTGTCCACAGTCTACTTAGATGTAATGAGGCACACAGCCTAGATCCTGCCCTTGGGGCTCAGGGACCATGTATCAGTGGAGTCCCACAACAGAAGCTCCTTTCTAACCATCTGTGGAACATCGTGGTGTACTCCTCACCTCCATGGCAAGTGTGGAGGAGGAAGGAGAAGTCAGGCCAATAGAAAGATTCTCTATCCAAGTTAAGTTGTCTTTGACTAGTCTTGATGACTTTAAATCTGTTTTGTGGCACATATTTAGCAACTGGAGAATCCTACTCTTTGACTTTAGTGGCTTAGGGCTTGCTATTATTCTTTAAAGTCAGTGGCATCACTGAATTATGCCTACTGTGTTAAGTAATGCGGACGACACAATTTTGTTAAAGTTTATGCATTTTCTAGAGTCTGCCAAATAAGAGTTGTTATAATAATAGTTAGCACTTCACATCCTCTGACGGCTGTAAAAACATTAGTTAATACCCTAATGAGATGATGACTGTCTTGGCTGCTTTTTATACTTTGATGCGTCTTTGTTGTAATGAGGAGTCTAGCAGAGCCAACTTCAGAAATCTAGTAGTTTAAGCTCCGCAATGATTATGCTAAGAATTAGGTTGGAAAAAACCGGACCAGGCAGTGATTAAAGTGTAAAACAGGAGAACTGAATGTCTAAACAGTTTGTTGAAATGCTACTTGATACTGTGTTCGTTTAAAAACTAATCAATAATTATTTTTATAAAGTTTAAGTGTTATTTAAAATACAAGTAAACAGTGGAGGAATAGATACCATCAAGCTTGACTGTAGGATACACTCTGTTCTCATATGAAGATCATTAGTTTTATTATGTTACAGTAGTGCTGGATGAAGTCTCTGGAGGAGAAGCTGTTTTTTTCATGCATATAGGCTAAGCCAGAAACCGTGCTGTTCTGTTTTCATTTACTGGCTGCTGTCTTACTACAGCATATCAAAATGGAAGACTTTTTTTGTCATGAAGTGAGAAGACCTGTAGCTCCATTTTTCTAGTATTATATTAAAATCCATTTGCTCCGTTCTTCTATCTTAATTTTATTCATGGAATACACATGTAACGGTTGCAAGCTGATGAGGAAACAATACTTGCAAGACATGCGTGTTTATTTGTTATTCTCCTCTTCCTGCTTTTATTCTTTGCCTGAGAGCTGCAAGTTCCTTGAATTTTTAGAATGATATTTGATTTTTTTTGTTGAAAATGAAATAGAAGATACTCTTCTCTTTTTTTAAATATAGAAAAGATGTCATTTGTGCCTACTGTATGCCTTACATAGTTTCTGATGAAAAATAACTGTAGTCTGACCATTATTTTAATCCTTTTAATATTTTCTAGAACACAGCCAAAAACAGTTTTTGCAGAAGTGGAACAAGAAGATGATGAAACAGACAAGCCAGAGTGGAAAAAACGTAAAATTTGAAGAACTGGGTTTAAAGAACAATTCAAAAGCATCTGAAACAAAGCGCAGCATGTATTTCTTTAGTTTGCATAGCAGGTCAGAATCTTTGAAAGCATGAATTATTTTAATGCATAAAACTTCCTACAGTTTAAAAAGGATTGTTGTATTACGGTGGACTGTAATTCTATGTCTGAATTTTGTAATAAGGAATGAATTATATTGTGCAAAGGAAAACCCCCTGTGTCAGTTACTTTACTTTGTGATTTAACTGAAAAATGTATGTGCTTACAATTTTTAATAGAATTCTAGTGAATTCAGGATGTTGCCGAATGTTCTTTTTTATTATTGCTAACTTTACCAATGCTGTGTCATGACAATGACTTTAAAGGATTTAAAGTACCGGAATAAAATAATACAGATTCTCAAACTTCTCATTTTTTCTTATACCATCTAACAACAAGTTATGCCCAAATAAACAGGGTTTGCACTTTTATTTAGATGTATTAATATGGAATAATCCAGTTCAGTTAGCTTGTGTGTGAATTTTAGAAAGCATATTATCTAGTGGCCATCCTTATGTGAATGATGATGTTTGTTAATATGTGTAGTATCTCATGGTAATATGTTATACAGATTTTATTTTTCAACCATGTGAAATAGGAACAGACAATTATATATTTTGTTTTAATAAAACCAGCATATGTTTATTTGCTAGTTGATACAGAATTTTATTCAGGCCTCCTAAGCCTATTAGTCTGTATTGATTAGTGTTAACACAGAGCAGAATTGTATATTTATTACCAGGTCTTTGTATATGTTGACTTTGCTGTATGCCTAAATTGTGTATTTCTTGGCTTACGCTCTCCGAAGACTGATTAGTACTCTTTTTAAGTGTTTGTTTAAATATTGAAAGGTTTCAGTGTTTGACACAGAACTGCAATTCCCAATGTCATAAACTGAAGGACAGAGAGATTTAAAATTAGTATCCTTTATGGAAGCAGAAAGGAATCTAGATTAGTTGTAGACATTTATATTGTGATTATAATAGTATACAGCATGGTAAGTGTTGTGATTATAATAATATATAATAAGGCAAGCACTCTGCATTTCCACTAAGAGTAAAGGACAAAAGACATCATAAACAATCAAGCTTTATTAATTATGAAAAAATTCTGAAGGCATCTGTTAAGGCTATATTTAGCAAAGCATTTAATCACCTTCCTAACCTCAAGCATGTGGTCCTGATAGAGTCAATAGAGCTTAAATTTTTTCTCAGACATTCTCTGCATTATGATTTAATTGTGTGACTTCCTTTTCATGCTTATCTTTTTCAATTATTGTTTCTATACATTAGGGAAACATAAGCCTGTTCTCAAAAGGTGGCATGAGATTCGTCTAACGTTCCAAGAACGAAACACTTCCACTGCTTTTAACTCAGCATTATCTTCTGATCAGAGCGGGACCTCACTGAATAATCCACAACTTGTATTTTTGCCTTTTAGAAAATGCTTTAGTACATACTTATTTAGAATAGCAAAGAAATGCTTAATTTAAAATTACTGCTGTAATGTGTAATATGAAAGACTTAATACCTAGGCAGGCAGGAAAAGGAGGAGAAAAGAAAGCACCAGCTGAGGAGCAGCAGTTGTTAACAGGAGCTGCTAGAGACCTCTGTGGAATGTCCCCTTCAGCTAATTAATGTTAGATGACTGTTTATTCACTAAAGACTTTTTTTTTTTATTTGGCTTCATCCGAGTAATGCACTAGAAAATAAAGCATTTTCAAACAAATTTCTATAAAATAATGATAAGATTTTAAAAGATTTAGTAGGTCCGTGGTTATAGGTGGAATATAAACAATTTATGACTTCTTTTGTTAGAAGTTGTTCACTGAGGCAGCATGGCTTAGTGAGAGCAGAGCTGGAGGGAAAGGCAGATGAGGAAAAAGGCAGCAACTGTTCTCTGAGCTTGAGGAGAATAAAATGTAAATAGGCAAAACTTCTCTTTTTATTCTGAGCAGCTAGATCTTGTTTTCTAATTTTTATTTTACTGCAAGTGAGCCCTGCAGAAGTCCTGTTAGAATTTCTTTCTCTGTTTTAAGAGTTCAAGTCACTGTTATTCAAAATGTTTAATTTCCCAGTTGTCTTAAATGACTGTTTTATTAGGCTAAAATTTAAAATGTCTGTGCAAAAAATATTTGAAAATTTCAAATCTGCTTAAATTAAATTTATACTTATAATTAGCTCTTGCTATTTGCCATAGTCCTAGACATTGGGTTTTCAGGCAGCATTTTCACCAACAAGGGCAATCTTTAACACATTTTTAAAAACAGATTTTTAGTATTGGACAACTCAGTATTAAGAGTTAATCCAGTCAGGAAGGAGATACAAAGAGTCTGCTTGGCCATACTTGGGATAGAAAACTCTGACTCACCACTTTGAATTGTCCAGGGAAAAATATTAGCATGAATAAATACTTGGTATGAGAGATCCAGCTCTACGTGCAAATGGGAATATTAGAAACAATATTTGTATTAATTGTATATGAACGTAATTTTCTTTTAGACTTTGCCTAGGGCCTCCCTTTCTAATGTTAGTCATTGCCAAGTTGTGATGTTAGTTTTCCATATGCTACATATTTGGCCAGAGTCTAGATGGGCTTTTATTTCTGTATTTCTGGAACAAGATGGGGATTTTATTTGTTTACTGGTTTCATAGAAAGACCCATTTACAGAGATGCCACAGTCATCTGTAGCGTTTTGGCATGCAGAATGGCTTCCCCAGAACCTTCCCCAGAACTGGATTTTTCTCTCCCTGTTCTGTGCAGCTTCTGGATATTTCTGCATAGCAGTGTGTGCTTTTTTGTCCTTTATGCTAAGTTCAGTGACTTGCTAAGGCCAGCTGTTCAGTACTACATGCCTGTCCATAGGGCCAAGACTTTCCCTGCTAGATCATTGCAGCCTACCAGCTGGTGGGCAGCTTAGTTTCCCTTTCCTTGTTTGTGTCCTTGCTGTTGGTATAAAGGTCTTGTTTTCACTCTGCAGTCCTTTGTATTACTTACATATCTTTTTTTTTTTTTTTTAACTTTTCTGCAACAGTCTAGCTGATCGCTAAGGTTGTCTTTGAGTCCTGGCACTTTCCTTCTTGGTGTTTTTAACTATTTTACAGTGGTTTAAGTTCATCTCTGCACAGGTACTTCGTATGACCTACAATGTACTAAAGATGGTACTTTTGCCTTTGTTCTGTGATTATTAGCAAGAACTGTGAATCTGTGCCCAGAGGCCTCTGATCTTTGGTTCCTGGGCTGTAATTGCATGCCTGGCTTGGTGTTCTTTGTCTTGCCTGCCTTTTTGCTCTTGGGTTGTAGAAGAATATTTCTTATGGGAAGAGAAACCATGAGGTTTTAAGCTGAACCCTGAGGAACGTTTCTCAATGAGGTGGCATTGCTGAGTAGAAGTGCCATCCTCTTGGCTAGGTCTTTGCCCATTAGTTTATTTGGCTGTCTTTGTGGTATCCAGCTTGAGACATCTGTAGCTCACACCCTCATTTAATACTGAATCATCTGAATTTTGATGTCTTTTATTGTGGCCTGTTTGTCACAGTAGTGCTGTGTGGCCAGAGCGTGTGTTGTATTGCAAAATCTGCCTCTTATTTTCTGATCGTGTTAAACGCCTCTATGTTTACCTAGCTTACCTCTCAGGGGAATGTACCAAAAGCCCCATAGTTACCATCATTAAAAGTCAGCAGACTAGTTCTTGCTTCTTACCATGGCTGATTTTATGAGGCTCTGTCCCCTCTTCTTGATCCCTGAGCTCTCTTTCTGTCTTGCTCTGTTTCATGCATACATGTGAAGGAAGAGTTGGATAGCTGGTCAGTAGGTATACCCATATGCTTGCCTGGATTTGAAGTGTGGACTCATCTCATTACATTAGATTTAAATCTGCTAGGATTTTTGGCTAATCCCATTTAAACACAATTTTGTAAAAGATGTGCACTTCATCCATCCTCCAGGAATCCAGCATCTAATTGCTTCCTGCAGTCTGGATAGCTCTGAAGCACAAGATATTTGTCTGTAGCACATTATCCTGGCTGAAGTTTGCTTTGGTTGCCAAAGCTTCCCGATCTAGATGCAAAGATATTGTGGCATGCCGACAATCTGTCCCGTTTACCACTTGGGCTGCAGTCTTGTTCTCAGATCGGCGTGTTGGAATCTCAGTAAGCTATGTTTTGCCTGAGCACCTTGCCAATGCTTTCGTTATGATATTTTCTGATGGCTGATGATCAGACAGCACGTTCATCTTGTGCTCTGAGAGATGACTCAAAAGCGGGCTGATTTAGAAAGTACAGGAAGTAAGTCCTTTTCTACCTTAGCTGTCACACTGTTTTTCTGAACTGTTCTTTAGGACTGTAGAACTTCAGGGCTAGTACTTAAGGAAGATTTTTCATATTCTGTCAAAAACATGTACCTGTGGGCTCTGGCCTTTCCTTCTTGTATCATGAAATAGTAGAGCAAGCAGAGCAGCAGATAAATACAGGCAGTAGATAAACTGAAGTAGATGGGTCCTTGGGAGGTTATGTAGTCTGTTCTTGACCCAAGTTAGAGCTATACCTGAACTAATATATTTAGTTCTAATATATTTATTGAATCAGCTCTTAAAAACGTCCTGTGGTAGAGATTTCACAGTGTTCCTAAACAATCTGTTCCGATGCTTCGTTCTTCTTACCAGTAGGAAGTTTTTCATATTCTCTAAGAAAAATAGGTCTTGCAAAAATTTAAGCCCAGTTTCCTGTCCTGTTCCCAGCTGCCAAGGGAGTTAGTTTATGGGCTTCTCCCTTTGCAGCAGCTTTTTACTATATTTGATGTTTATTATCTTCTCGTATCTCCTCTTTTTTTTTCAGTTTTCCCTTATGATTTATGTTTTTTGACATACTGACTTTTTTTGCTCTTTCCTGCCTTGTTCTTCTTGTCCACATGTTTCGCAGAGTGTCCTTTTGTCTCAAGATTTCTCTAATGACTTAGTCTCTTCATGTCCAGCAGGACTCCATCTGACATTAACAATGTTTGGTGTGGGAGACCTCAAGACCTCTTTATGTTCAGCTTTTCAATATTCTAGATTCTGCACGTATTTTCAGTCTGTCCCCGTTTGGAGTTTTGATCCTGGATTCTCACCTCCTTTAGTTCTCCTTCTATACTAGAAAATATCACCTGCTGTAATCTTCTGTAATTTAGCAGTAGCATATCTCTAGGGCCAGCTACACACCGAGAGGTGTACATCTGGCTCTTGATCTGATTTACTCTAGGACTGAGTTAGTACATTCATATCTGTCAAAAGCTGTAATACCAACGATGAGGTCTGTGGTTGTCTTGCCTGCACACTGACTTCTGTAAGCCCCAGTATAGTGGAAGCAGCAATGTTTCTTGGTTCTCTGGCTTTCCTGTTTGCCATCTGCTCTTGCACTGGTGTCAGGAAGGTTTTACTGTATACCATCATCTTTAGGCCTTATTTTTGTAGTCTGTTGCTAACACTTGTCAAGATCACTGGGGCTGCATTGCAGCTGACCTTACAGTCTGTCTAGGATGAAATAAATTGTTTGATTTAAGAACATAGGTGCGTAAGTGATAATTAACTTGCAGGTTTCCATAGCTTCAGGCACTGAAAGCACTTCTCTTTTATTCTTTGGATGCCAGTGAGCACTCTGTGTCTCTGCTCCTCACATCCTTAGGGGTACCCAGTCGTTCCTAGGCTGGAAATTTTCTCTCGCTGCTTCTTGTTGGTTTCCATGGCACAAGCACCTGACCGTGGAGCCTGCAGGCTCCATCCGTCCTGTGTTGCTTAGCTGGATTCTCCATATCTGTTGGGCAGCCTTGTAGGCCTGCTAGTATGGGGTTGCTCTTGCTAGTAACTGGCCAAAGGCTTTGTGTTAACCTAACAGCCCTCAGGACTCGTCTGGTTTTGTCTGGACTTGTCTTAGCCTCCCTGGAGCTTTGTCTTAGCCTTAGCTGCAACAACAATCTAACAGCCAGGTGACGACTGCTTACTTTGTTTAAGGTTTTGCTTAGCTTTGTACAATTGTGAGGAAACATCTATTATGATGCATAGCTTTGTAATTAATAGATTTACGACCCTAGAATTAAAATGCAGCATGAAGGAGTACAGACTTGATGATAGGGGAGGTGTTGAAAGACACAGGATAATATCCGCAGCCCTGGGGCTGCAAGCAACTCACCAGTGGTCAGTTCCTGGTCATTCAAGGAGTACAACTTTGAGAGCTGGGTAAAGCTGTATTGGGTG